CATTTCTGAAGAAGGATCCCGACCCGAAACATCAGCTTTCCTGCTCCTCTGATGCTGCCTGGCCTGCTGTGTTCCTCCAGTGCCACAGTGTGTTATCAATAACTAACTCTCCCCATTTGTCATTCCTTCAGATGTCAGGCTACCCAAAATGTTGAGATCTACCAGTTCTTCTAAGGAACTCTTTTTCCAAGCAAATTTTACATGGTGAACGTAAAATTCTCTTACTCGATGTTAATACTCTCGTCACAAAAACCTTCAAATTTTAAGTTGAAATATGACTGAGCACATAAGCTGACAAAAATGAAATGTTAAATGTTTAGCCTATACTTACTTTGAAATGTTAAGTCAAAACAGATGTGTTGAGTTGTCTTAAGTTTGTTAACAAAGTTTGTAACAACTCATTCTTTGCAATACAGGTTACATCTTCAACAACAACAATACAGTACTTACTATATTCGGGAGCTTCAATTTTGTTACAGTTTTTCCTCTACTCAATTTTAAAACCATTTAAGTTGCCTTTAATTCCTGCAATTTAAAAAACAAACCTATTTCTCACAAAACCAGCAATATCTGAACCAATGTCATTTCTCATGCATGCAACTGACCCATACGTCCAGAAAGGTTGACCCTAGAATCTATGGTAAGGCAAGTGAGCACTTGAATTTTTTCAGCTATGTTAGTATTTCTAGCTTTGCAATGGATAAATTCATTAGAACATTTGGGCACTCTCAAGCAATGAAATTTTGATCAACTCAAATTCAGCTAAAAGTTACCATTCTACCAGCTAAACATGGATTCACCATTACACAACTTTATGTATGTTACCCTTCTGAAATTTGTAAATCAAAATCAGTCAGTCCAGTTAGATTAACATATCATTTTGGTTGCATATTTATCTTTTTCATAAATGGAAAACACAAGTGACATTTACAAAAATCTTCTATTTATGATTAGTTGCAGTCCAAAATATTGAGAACTGAAAGTACAGCACTCTCTTGTTTAAAATTTAGTTTTTAGAAATAACAATAGTAATTCTTGGCAACACTGCATAGCAGTCACAGCAAATTTCACAACATATTCATCACAAATTTTCAGCATTAGACAAAGTTTACATTAAAATGGTGCTATCATACAGCTGTAAGGCTTGTTTACATAGGTTACAGGAATGTAAGAACCTAACCTCCAAATCAAAATATTGCCTTTTATACATTGATTAAAGTTTAGGTGTACATAATTCTGTAATAGTAATCATTTTAGTTACTTACACATATTGTAAGGTACATTCTTGCTGTGTGAATTAAATCCATGACTATATATAAACAGGAATGGGCTATTTACTCCACAAACCTGTTCCATTATTTAATTAGATCTTTGCTGATCTATACCTCAACTTCATTTACCCACATTTGAACAGAAAGGCAAACAAAGATGCAATAACAAGCCTTTTTTTGCTTTCATTAATAAAACAACAGCCTGTATTACAAAGCATTTCAAAAAGTGTTTTGGGTAACATATTCTTTTGCTGTCAATAGAATAATAAATACATTTTCAACCTCTGGAGCATGACAACATGATGTTCAGGTTTGATCTGTTCATTTATGATTTTTAAGCAGAAAAGTACATTTTTTTTAAAAAACGCATTTATTTTCTTAGACCTTAAATTGATAATCGGGGGTTCAGTAAAATGACAAACCTGTACAAAATTGTCAAACGTTTTTAAATTTGATGACCTTGTTATGCAATAGTGGGATTAAAAAAGAATCTCTATAGTTGCCTCAGTAAACAATTAAAAATAAATGAAAACATGGAATGTTTGTGAAGTTTTGATGCTTTTGTTAAGGACTGTAACTTGAACAATAGAAATGAAACAGCTTGCTGTAATTAATAACAACAAATAGGAGTTTAGTACAAAGGATGTTTGTGCTTAATTATCAAAACAGTGTAAGTATAGCAATGGGTGCAATGTTAAGGCTTTTAGGAACATACCAGTGTATTACAACTAAAACAGCTATTTACATTTGTTCTATGATTCTAATTTTTGGCTTCTTTAAATACCAATGGTATTTATTTTTCACAGTGTAATATTTTTTGAACACAGAATTCTAATTGTACCGATCTTTTGTTGTTTATCATCTCTACTAAGTGTCTGTGAAAAAAAAGAGGGACTGAGACAGAGACAGAACAAAAAATGGAATTGTGTGTGTCTTCTAACTGATCATATTTACATCTCTGCATCTTAATTTTATTTATAATTATACATGAAAAATTCTATACGTGTACTCAGTAGGTATGCAATCCAGTTCTGAATGCCACAAATGCTTTCTGATGCAAAAGGTACAAAAATGAAAAAGTTTGGTAGTCATTCCAAAAAGAAAGTCTTATTCTCAGTGCACACTCAAAACCTGATGGATTCTGAGCTCAGTCGAAGCTGGTTTTAGCAATGGTTTATTATGGTGCAGCCCAGCTGCAGAGCAGTTGAATATTATGTTCTTCAGCAGTTGTCAGTTGTAGCAAAAGCCACCTTGCTGAATGAGTCTTCTAACTGCACCACAATGAAGTAAAGCTGACTTTCTTTCAGTAACTCTTCTGCTTCCATTCAGTATCATTTTCAGTCCACATTATCCTCTACTCAGCAGTATAACCTTAGGTAAATGCCATTGAACCTGATGCTTGATAATGTGGATTTTGAATCCTGCTTCTACTGTAATTCAAATATCAAGTATTTTGCTTTTATTAATCAAAAGTTATTGGAGGGTTGCTGAGGTAATATGCAGCACACATTTTCAAAACTGAAGACAGATCTCGGAACAGACAATCACTCTTAATTGGATAAAATTGGTCTCTTCCTTCCTCTTTTCTCCGGAGAATTTGTTCTCAGTCCCTTGAAGATGTTCTCATGTCATTTAAAAATAAATTTTGAAAACAAAAAAGGTGTGTGAAGAATACATGGCATTATTTGACTGGACCATCTAACTGGATTAGATTATTGATGTTCAACTTCTTCAGAAATTCTGCTTTTGTCTTCATTCACTTGGGCTGAGTTGTCCTCACTGTTGTGTTGTTTAAGGAGCAGTCCCCGCCACCTTGCCTTGTTTTTGCACAGATGACTCATCATTGTTATGGTCAAAGGAGTGTTTTCAGTAAAACGCGACCATTCCACAAACAGAGGCTCAACAATGTAACTCATAAAGCCTAAAATAAGGAATAATAAGGCAATTATATTTTACTATAACGGAAGTGTAGCTATTAAAAGGTTACTCAAAATATTAAAAAGTGCTTGCTGTTTCACCTACAATATATACGCAATATAATGAATCATTAACATGTTATGATAATTAGTAACAAAATTACTATTAGAATAAACAAAAACAGAAATTGCTGGCAAGACTCAGTAGGTCTGGCAGCATCTGTGGGCTGAATGCAGAGTCAACATTTTGAGTCCAGTTACTCTTCATTAACATTCCAATCAAAGTTCAAAACCAGATGAGCTCTTAAGCTGTCACTCACTGACAAAACACCTGCTCATAAAATGTCCTGCAATTAGATATCTTATTGGTTCTCTGCAAACCACAATGTAGAAACGATTTTGATGAGAATATGGAAAGCATGGTTAGTAAGTTTGTGCACGACACTAAAATCGGTGGCGTAGTATACAGTGAAGAAGGTTATCTAAGAGTTCAATGGGCCGAGAAGTGACAGATGGAGTTTAATTTAGATAAGTACAAAGTGTTGCATTTTGGTAAGACGAGTAAGGACAGGACTTACGCAGCTAATGGTAAGGCCATGGGGAGTGTTGTTGAACAGAGAAACCTAAGGGTTTACTTACGTAGCTCCTTGAAAGTTATGTCACAGGTAGACAGGATGGTTAAGAAGGTATTTGGCATGCTTTCCTTCATTGCTCAGACCATTGAGTATAGGAGTTGGGACGTCATGTTATGGTTGTACAGAATGTTGGTGATGCCATTTTTGGTGTACCGTGTACAGTTCTCATCTGCCTGCTATAGGAAGGACATTATTAAATTGAAAAGGGTGTAGAGAAGATTTACAAGGATGTTTCTGGGACTGGAGACTTTTAGTAATTAGGAGAGGCTGGATAGGCTGGGACTTCTTTCACTGGAAAATACAAGGTTAGGGGGTGACCTTATAGAGGTTTGTAAAATCATGATGAACATAGATAAGGTGAATAGCAAAGGTCTTTTCCCTAAAGAGGAGTTCAAAACTAGAGGTTCATACATGGAATGCACTGCCAGAGGAATGAACTGCAAATACAGTTACAATATTTAAATGACATTCGGACAGGTACATGAATAGGAAAGGTTTAGAGGGATATGGGTCAAATGCTGGCAAATGAGACTAGTCTAATTTAGGAAAACTGGTTGGCATGGACGTGTTGGACCAAAGGGTCTGTTTCTGTGCTGTATATCTCTATGACTCTATGAGATTGTAAATAATTTTAACTAACTTATTCAGATATGTTATGACGGACCTCTGCAGAGGTAGGACTCAAACTCAGGCTCTCTGGCTCAGAGGTAGGGACACTACCACTGTGTTATAAGAGCCCTATAAATATATACACTATGCCTCTTCGCCATGGCAGCCTAATTATAACTAGGTTAGAGGAATGTATAATGACTAAACTGCATATAATTCTTTTATGCAGTGCACATATTATTTTAGTTTCTGAATTTCTTGATAATCCATTTCAAAATCAAATAAGTAGATGAAAGACTCAGATCTTTCCCTTTCAAAAGAAGAATGAGGCAAAATTGTTCAGTCACCCATTGTATTTAATATTTCTTTAAAATTGTGTGCAGGGCGGCATTGTAAAAGACGTCTGATCTGAAAATTTCAGAAAAGGTGATGCTCCCTTTTTGCAGATGGTATTGAGTTTTTGATGGACTCACTTTGGAATCAAATGCACTCTAATTATAATCTTGAATAAAGAGTTTCGCAGTGTGATTGAGGGGATACCTCAAATGAGGAATTCTGGTGTTGCATGAGAAGAAGTTTAAAAAATTCTGATTGAAGCAAACAGGAGGCATCAATTCCAATTCATACCCATACCTAGGTTTCCTGATGAACATCGACTGGAGCCTTAAATCGAGTCTTTGAAGATTGTTATGAGAAGAAGGCAGAGACGACTTTAGTCTCTTCCAGAGATAGTAGGAACTGCAGATGCTGGAGAATCAGAGATAACAAGGTGTAGAGCTGGATGAACACAGCAGGCCAAGCAGCATCAGAGGAGCAGGAAGGCTGACGTTTCGGGCCTAGACCCTGCTTCAGAAATGGGGGAGGGGAAGCGGGTTCTGAAATAAATAGGGAGAGAGGGGGAGGCGGATAGAAGATGCATAGAGGAGAAGATAGGTGGAGAGGAGACAGATCGGTCAAAGAGGCGGGGATGGAGCCAGTAAAGGTGAGTGTAGGTGGGGAGTTAGGGAGGAGATAGGTCAGTCCAGGGAGGATGGACAGGTCAAGGGGGCGGGATGAGGTTAGTAGGGAGGAGGGGGGGGTGGTGCTTGAGATGGAAGGAGGGGATAGGTGGGGGGAAGGACAGGTTAGGGAGGCGGGGATGAGCTGGGCTGGTTTTGGGATGCGGTAGCGGGAGGGGAGATTTTGAAGCTTGTGAAATCCACATTGATACCATTGGGCTGCAGGGTTCCCAAACGGAATATGAGTTGCTGTTCCTGCAACCTTCGGGTAGCATCATTGTGGCACTGCAGGAGGCCCAGGATGGACATGTCGTCTGCGGAATAGGAGGGGGAGTTGAAATGGTTCGTGACTGGGAGATGCAGTTGATTAGTTCGAACCAAGCGTAGGTGTTCTGCAAAGCGGTCCCCAAGCCTCTGCTTGGTTTCCCCGATGTAGAGGAGGCCACAACGGGAACAGCGGATGCAGTATACCACATTAGCAGATGTGCAGGTGAACATCTGCTTGATGTGGAAAGTCTTCTTGGGGCTTGGGATGGGGGTGAGGGGGGAGGTGTAGGGGCAGGTGTAGCACTTCCTGCGGTTGCAGGGAAAAGTGCCGAGTTTGGTGGGGCTGGGAGGGGAGTGTGGAGCAGATAAGGGAGTCACGGAGAGAGTGGTCCCTCCGGAAAGCAGATAAGGGTGGGGAGAGAAAAGTGTCTTTGGTGGTGGGGTCGGATTGCAGATGGCGGAAGTGTCGGAGGATGATGCGTTGGATTCGGAGGGTGGTGGGGTGGTACGTGAGGACG